AGATATTGGCTATGGTACAAGGAATACAGGTTGCCAACCAAGTAGGAGTGGAAAATTCGATAGTTGAGGGAGACTCTAAGGTAGTAGTGGGTTGGTTTTCGAATCCAAAAATAGTTTTTTGGGGCTACAGGGATCTTCTCAAGAAAGTTAATTGGTTTACAAGGAACATGCTAGTCAGTTTTCCATGGCTTAGTAGATTAGCAAATGCTATGGCTGATACTTTGGCTAAAAAAGGGGTTTCAATGGTTGAATTATTTTATAGTTGTATTTTAGTAGGGGGAAAGTCGGTCAATGGGATTGTGGTTCCCATTGATCGACTCTTCCGTGTTCTTTTTTCAGGATTTAGGTGGGACCCATGATAAATATGTTTTCCTCGGGTATCACCTACTTGGGGAAGTGTTACCCTTCTTCCACTTGGGTCCATTAAAACAATATAATCCAAAAAGCATGGACTTGGGCCTAAGGGTAAAATTGACAAAACATAGAAAAATTATCCACTTACCCGGGAAATATAACATCCATGGTTGATTTCCCCAGCATAAAGCCAAATTAGTTCTCTGATACACTTGCTTCAAGTCGTAATCTTTGTTCAATTATTCTCTCCCAAAGTTTTATAGTGTGGCTCATGAGTTTAATCCCTTGATAGTTATTACAACTTTGTATATCACCTTTGTTCTTAAATATAGGCACCATATTGCTATTTCTCCTATAACCAAGCATCCTCTTATCTTTTACTATCTTATTAAATAGCTTAGTTAGTCATAGCACACCTACCTCCTCCATACCTTTCCACACTTGTATTAGAATCTCATCAAGTCTTAACGCCTTTCCCTTCATCTTATTTATTGCCTCTTTTACTTTAGTAGGTATAACTCTATGAAGGTATGTATTATTTTTAACATTATTAGTATTGCTAGCTTCTCCATTAGAACCCTTTCCTTGTTGTTCATTTAATAATTTTTCAAAATAGTTTTTCCATCATTGTTTGATTTCCTCATCTTTTACTAAGACTCTTTGATCTCCATCTTTAATGCACTTAACATGGTTTATATCTCTGCCTTTCCTTTCTCTTAGCCTTGTTAGTTTATACGTTCTTTTTTTTTTCTCTCTTTTAGTGCCTAATTTATGGTAAAACTCATCATAAGCCCTACATTTAGCTTCATTCACTTACTTTTTAACTTCCTTTCTTATGGTTTTATACTTTTCCCAATTTGCTACATTTTTAGCTTTTTGCCATTCTTTGTAACATGCTCGTTTTAATTTGATTATATTTTGAACCTCTTCATTCCACCACTAAATTTCTTTAGTACTTTCCCATTTTCCTTTAAATTCTCCTAAGATCACCTTTGCTACTTTCATTATGTTGTTTGCCATTTCAAGCCAAATATCATTAATCTTTTCATCTAAATTCTAATTCCCTTCTATTATCAACTTGTTTCTAAATTGAGCAAGCTTTTCTCCTTTTAGGTTTTCCCACATAATTTTTGGACACCTATTTTCTTCCCTATTTCTCGTCCATTTCCTAATGTGCACATCTATCACTAGTCTATGATGTGTTGTTAAGCTTTCTCCCGGACTAACTTTGCAGTCTTTGCATATCATTCGTTTTGTTCTCCCATAAAAGAAAAAATCTATTTGACTTGTGTTTGATCTACTTTTAAATATTATTAAGTGTTCATCTTTCTTTTGGGAAAAAAAGGTGTTTAAAATTGCCATATCTAATATTGTACCTCCTGATTCATTCCTCTCCTCAAATCTAAATCTTTCATGTACCATATCATATCTTACACTTTTTTGCCCTATATGCCCATTTAAGTCTCCTATGAAAATCTTCTCTTCATTTGGAATTTCTTCAATTAAGCAGTTTAAGTTTTTGCAAAATTGTCTTTTAATGTTTTCTTCTAAACCCACTTGAGGTGCATAAACTCTAATTATGTTAATGATTACCTCACCTAAAACAAATCTAGTTAAAATGATTCTATCTCCAATTATTTTAACATTTATGTTTTCATTTGTTTTCTAAATCCTTATCTACTACTATCATTGCACCATTTCTGTTATTCACCTCTCCCGTATACCGTAATTTGTAGCCATCAATTTCTTGTAGGCATGCAATATTAACCCTTCTCCTCTTCATAGTGCCTACTAATTCCATAGTTTTTCTTGTTAATGTTCTTACGTTCCAAGTGGCTAAATAAAGTCGTATTTCTTGGGCTACCTTCTTTACCCACCCCCATCCAGAATGGTGTGGGAACCCTTGCCTATTTGACACCATAGTCGGGCATTGCCATGGTGGGTCACTTACAGGACCATCCAAGCAAAACCTTTCCCACTTAACACTACACTAGGGTGCAGCACGTTGTTTCTGGACCCTAGCATGAGTACAAAAAGGCAAATTAGGATCCAACCTGATGCCAACTCTCCTCCTTTATCTAGGCTTGGGACTGGCAGTGTAAGACAAGCTCAAACTGGCGGAGTTATTGCATTGGGCCCAATTGTAATAGTTGAGGTGGGCAAATCTACCTCCTTTTGAATCCTCATTGTACATTCCTTTTTGTTATGTTAATGAAATGAAATCCTGATAATTATCAAAATAAGGCATTGTTAAAGAAGTTATGCAGTTATTGAATAGTTTGAATAGTTTTTTAGATCAGTGACTTTTTGCATTAGTTATTATTGACCATCTTCTACAATTATTTTTTAGATGCTTTCAAGCAATTACAATATGCTACATACTTACAGTGGTGGAGAGATTTACGAAGAAATTGGCTGTGGAAAAGAAATTACATATCCATTGGTGGAAGGATAACCTTAATTAGAGAAACATTAGCGAACCTCCCAGTTTACTTCTTGTCCACTTTTAGAGTCCCGGTGAGGGTAGCAAGGGAGTTAGAGAAACTTATGAGGGACTTTCTCTGGGAGCCTGGGGATGAAAAGAGAGACCATCTAGTAAAGTGGGAACAAGTTTGCAAGACAAAAGAATAGGGAGGTTTTGGGTTGGGGAATGTAATTCATAGGAATTCTTTGTTGCTAGGAAAATGGCTTTGGAGGTTTCCATTGGAAAGAAACAGGCTGTGGCACAAGGTTATTGAAAGCATTCATGGGCTAAGGAATAATGGTTGGGATGCAAAGGTCGCTTTGACATCTACCTTGAACTCTCCTTGGAAAGTAATTCAAGAGGTATATCCGACTTTTCTTAACTTCATTAGATATGATGTGGGTTGTGGTTCAAGGGTTCTGTTCTTGGAAGACCTTTGGTGTGGTGACTCTCCTTTTTGTTCTCTTTTCCCCGAACTTTACTTGATTTGTGACTATAAGAAGAGATCTATCTCAAGTTTCATCACCTTATCTCAATCTGGTGTGAACTTTGGATTTAGGAGAGGTCTAAGGGATAGTGAGTGTGAAAGCTTATTAAGCCTTTTTGATAACCTCAATTCAGCTTTTCTAGTCCAATCTTTGGAGGACACTAGAGTCTGGTCCACTTCTTCCGATGGCTCCTTTTCCTGTGCTGCATTCTTTAACTCCCTTGTGCATTCTTCTGGTGGGGAAGAGGATTTCCCAGTGAAAGAAATTTGGAGTAAGCCCATTCCACCCAAAGTTCAATCTCTTTGCTGGGAGATGTTCCTTGGAAAGGTGAACACCTGTGCTTCAAAAGAGGGGGCCTCATATGTGCCTCTCCCCTCATGTGTGCCTTCTTTGTTTTGCGAATGGTGAATCCCTCTCTCACTTATTGATCCACTGTCCTTGTGTGCTTTTTGTTTGGAAGTCTATTTGCTCTCTGTTTGGTTGCAGGTGGAGCTCCCCATAGGATGTAGTGAGCCTCTTCAACCCAAACTTCCTAAGGCAGCCGACAAAGAGGGGAAGAACAATGTGGAAATCAGTGAGGGCAGCTGTGGCATGGATGATTTGGGAGGAAAGGAATGCAAGAATATTCAATGGCAAATGCAGACCAAAAGAAAAGTTGGTGGAAGCTGTAAAGATAAAAATTGCTCATTGGATAAAAACACTTGAGCTGTTCCAAAGCTTCTCTGTGGCTGATATCCTGCGGGCTTGGAAAGAAGTGGCATGTTCAACTAAGAAGAAAGATAAGATGGTGATGGAATGGAAACCCCCTGCTGCAAATAAGTTAAAGTTAAACTTTGATGGCAATTCCATAGGGAATCTGGGATTGGCAGGTATAGGGGGTGTGTTCAGAGACTCAACAAACAAAGTTCTGGCTATGTATTCAGGGCCTATAGGGGCGGTGACTCCATAAAGGCTGAGCTTCATGCTCTTTTGCAGGGATTAAAACTAGCCAAACTAGCAGATTTTAAAATTTTGGAGGTTGAAGGAGATTCAAAACTGGTGATTTCTTGGTCCAGTTTCAGAGGTAACACTCCCTGGATTTATAGACATTCCTTGTGAGAGGTTGGAAGTTTAGCAAGGGAGCTCAATGCCACTTTCACTTGGATTAGAAGGACTGCAAATGAGATGGCTGACTCGCTAGCAAAACAAGGAGTGTACAGACAAAATCTATTCTGGGCAGTTTTATAATTCTTTTCGATTGTGCTGCATACTTACAATGATGCCCAACTTTATCATAAACAGAGCACCTTAAGGAATTTCTTTCTAGTTTTAGGTTCTTAATCTTGTGGGTTAAAGATGTTGAACACCATGTTTTACCTATCTATCAGCAATTCTCAGGGCTGCAAGTTATTCAATACATATTATGTTATGCAATGCATATAATGGCATGTACATTTTCTAATTGTAGAGCATTGTATGGGAGATTTTGTTAGTTTGCTTTCTTAACTTGCAGATTAAAGATCTAGAACATTGTATTTCACCTTTCCTGTTTTATGTGGGCATCTGAGCTCAGTTACTGGATTTACATTTTGTCATCCAACAAATATAATATTGGCTAGCATTATCTAAATGTAGAATACTTTGTGGATGTTTTACTAGTTTGGATTTTTTTTCCTTGTGAAAAAATAGTAAAGTTTGTTTTTCTTCTCTTGCAGTTTTATCATCAGTCTCAGGGCTGCAAGTTACTGAACGGAAGCTGACTGATGGTAAATAATGCAGTACCTCTATGCCTCTCTCATACATCAGTAAATGTTATTAGATTTGACTCAGGATGTCTAATCAAATCTTCAAGATTTGTTTTGGTCTCCCTCTAATTTTATTTTCCTTTTTGATGTTGATCTTACTGTTCCAAGGTGTGCTGGTGGTGCTTGCATGTGTCATATTGGTGGGCCTATTTGCTCTGCAGCATTGTGGAACACACAAGGTTGCTTTTATGTTCGCACCCATTGTTATCATCTGGTTGGTATCAATTTTCGTGATTGGTCTATACAACACAATTTATTGGAATCCCAAGATAGTACGTGCAATTTTGCCATATTACATCATCAAGTTCTTTAGAGAAACAGGCAAAGATGGGTGGATTTCTCTTGGAGGAATCCTTCTTTCTATTACAGGTATTTGACATCTGGCATATGGAGAATTGCATTATACTGAAGAACATGAAAGAAAACAAATGAACATAATTCTGACTGACTGGATAAAGTAACTCAATTCCAAGATTTGAATTAATCCTAGCCATCCAAGAAAGAAAAAAGAATTCTTGTTCTTGCCTCTATCTTAGCCTCAAACTAAATTTCTTATATGCCTCACCAGGTACTGAAGCCATGTTTGCAGATCTGGGTCATTTCACTGCCTTGTCAATAAGAGTAAGACGCCAGTTTGTTCCTTTCTTTCTTTCTTCTTGAGCTGTGGATCCACCATAAATTATTTGTCCTCCTTAAGAGATCCCTTGTACCCCCTAAGCAAAATTTGGATCTAAAGGGTACTCATTATAGGCCCATCTTTGGAGATCTATGGAAATTTCATTTCAATTGGAGATTCATTGCAATGCCATGTTTTTCAATGTTTGAAGGGCTAGGAAAAATTGCAGCAATCAATCCTGGAAAAGTCTTAACATCTCAAGTCTTAACCACATTGCTTTTGTAGGGTTGAAATAATTTTCTAGGCAGAAACAGTAGTTTGAACTATGGTCCAGGGGGATCATGAATGTTGTATGCATATTTTATTAATTAAATCTGTATTCATGTTTCTGACATCATTTTCTATTTTTCAGCTTGCCTTTGTATTCCTTATATACCCATGTTTGGTAGTACAGTACATGGGGCAGGCTGCTTATCTTTCTAAAAACCCATCTGCTATTAGCAGAAGTTTTTATGACTCAATACCAGGTTAGTTATTCACCAACTTGCCTTTTCCCCAATATTTCTTTGTCAAAGCTCCACAAGCTTCTCATTCTTGAACCGAAAATTTGGTGTATGAATATAGTGTTTTGTTATTTCCACAGATTCTGTATTCTGGCCTATCTTTGTAATTGCAACCCTTGCAGCTATAGTTGGAAGTCAAGCAGTAATCACAGCCACCTTTTCTATTATTAAGCAATGCCATGCCCTTGGTTGTTTTCCACGAGTCAAGGTTGTTCATACCTCAAGACATATTTATGGACAGATCTACATCCCAGAAATAAATTGGATCCTTATGGTCCTTTGCCTTGCTATAACTATTGGATTCCAGGACACAATTTTAATTGGGAATGCTTATGGTAAGTCCAATTATTATTTTTTTTTAATTAGTGATTTGTTTTTAACGAGGTGCTTCCACCAGAGTGAAAAGTTCAAAGGGGGTATTTTCCATGCCTTTTTAAACACAAATGGCACAAGTGCAAGCTGTATGTTCACCAGCAGCTTACAGTTCTAGGTCAATCTGGTCCATTTTTAACCATTCAAAATAATTTCATAGTTGATAATTATAGACATCCTAATTGATTGCCAAAGAATATAAGTGGGATCCCTCAACATGATGGGTTACCAAACTCCTTGGTTGTGCCATGTTTCAAAGGAGGCATAGATTACTTTTTTCCTGTCCTTAATTTTGGCTATTTTCAATTTTCAAATCTATACTACCCATACTTGTTGCTCACAGTGGTTCTTTTGGTTTCCAGGCATAGCTTGTATGGCAGTTATGTTTGTCACTACATGTCTCATGGCACTTGTCATAGTCTTTGTGTGGCAGAGGAGTGTTTTTCTGGCTGCAGCGTTCCTGCTCTTTGGATTTATTGAAGGGGTTTATCTATCAGCATCCTTCATAAAAGTGCCACAAGGAGGGTGGGTTCCCCTTGTTCTCTCGTGCATTATTATGGTTGTAATGTATGTCTGGCACTATGGAACTCGTAAGAAGTACAACTTTGATCTTCATAACAAGGTCTCCTTGAAATGGCTATTAGGCCTGGGGCCCAGCCTTGGAATTGTTCGTGTTCCTGGGATAGGACTAATTTATTCTGAATTAGCTACTGGGGTCCCTGCCATCTTCTCCCACTTTGTTACCAATCTTCCTGCATTTCATAAGGTGTTGGTGTTTGTTTGTGTGAAATCAGTTCCTGTCCCCTATGTCTCGCCCGAGGAACGCTACCTCATTGGTAGGATTTGCCCAAGACCCTACAGGATGTACCGGTGCATTGTGCGATATGGATACAAGGACATCCAACGGGACAATGGTGATTTTGAGAACCAGCTCATCCAGAGCATTGCAGAGTTCATCCAGATGGAAGCAGTAGAACCTCAGTTCTCAAGTTCTGAGAGTTCATCATTGGATGGGAGGATGGCTGTCATTAGTACCAGAACAGTTCAGTCATGCTCAAGCTTGATAGTTTCAGAGCAAGAGGATTATGGGTTAAACACCACCATTCAAAGTAGCAAATCATCTACCCTCCAGAGTTTGCGGTCTGCATACGAAAATGAGAACCCACAGATCAGGAGACGCCAAGTTAGGTTTCAGTTACCACCAAACCCAGGTATGGATCCTTCAGTGAGGGATGAGCTGATGGATTTGATCCAAGCAAAGGAAGCAGGAGTTGCGTATATAATGGGGCATTCATATGTGAAGGCCCGTAGATCATCTTCCTTTTTGAAAAAGCTGGTAATTGACATCGGATATTCATTTCTGCGTAAGAACTGCAGGGGCCCTTCTGTGGCACTGAACATTCCTCACATTAGCCTAATTGAAGTTGGCATGATTTACTACGTGTAGCTGTCAAAAAAGGACCATTCATGGCCGTACTGGATATTCTTCGCTCCACCTCTCTCTCTCTCTCTCTTATTGTGCGTAGGAGCAGCATCGCTGAGCTCTTTCACCGGTAGTAGGTTAATTGTGAATGTAGTCGACTTGGATCGACATTCGGGGAGAATACCATCGATTCAGGATTTGCTGATAGACATCGTTTTCTACCTGACATGTATATACGCGTACATCACCTGGGGAACTCTAAACAGGTGAATTCCAACTTTTGTTAATTATAGATTAGGTGAAGGTGTTATGTGAAATGGTGCTAGGTGATGATTAGAGAAAGGGATCACGTAACTTTTGTTTGCTGAAGAAAATGTCGATGATATCATGACATTTATAATCTTTCTCCTATTCTTTTTTTCCATTCAAGTGGAAAATATATGCTGCTGAAAAAAAAATGCTGGGGATTAAGATAATCTCTGTTGTTTCCCGAGCAAAGGTTGAACTATAAAACTTCAATAATCGTTTTGTCATCGTGATTCGTGAACGTGGCATCCCAAGTTAAGGCCCCACTTACCAGGACTTGCCTTTGGGAACCATCTGATTTGATATCCCCTGGATCAGTTGTGTGGTTATTTCCTTTGGCAACGTCAATAGATCAGGTGATGAGAGTTACTAAATCTGAGATCAGACAAGTTTCCCTTGGAATTAATAATCTTATACCTAAAAGGCTTCTTAAGGACTCGTTTGGATGATCATCAGTTTCGTTGCAGCAGTTATTGCAACCACCAGATCGAACCATGATGCCTCAATGAGTTACTTTTCACCCTAGAAAAATAACTAATGCAATTATAAAGATGATTATGGCCTGGGTGAAACTGAAAGAAGCCGAAGCTTCCCAAGATTGAACAAGTCTAACTAGCGGCTCAGCAGGTTCGCCTATAAACCCATTTTAACATCCTACTCATTCTTTTAACATCAAAACTAGCTATGTTTTTACCGCCAAAGTAGACGACTTCACCAACCTCAACACACATGGGTTCCAGTTCCAACGGCTGTCTATCATCAGAGTTATCACACGAAAATTTCCGAACCAGGAAAAGAAGAGCAAACATGTGAAAGAATAGTCGGCAACCCTAAATGTCATTATGAAGACATTTAAGGATTCTGTCCCAGATTTGGTAGATCCAAGCAAACCTCGGGATGATTGCCCCGGATAAAAGCAAGCAATCTGCGATATAATTGGCACAAAATTTCAATTTTCGTTATGCATTCTAACATTATATTTCAATTTTGCATGTATTTTCTATTTAATCGTGACAAATCACAAAATTCATAATTGCAATCACAAATCATAAATCCCCTTCCATCTAAAAAAAAGAAGAGGCTAGGAACAGCAAGCTTTACTAGGAAACTGGATAAAAATGAATGAACAATCGTAATAGCAAGCAACAGAAGAATATTATTATTAAATAAGTCCAGTGAGAACCGGACCTCCTCGCTGAAGAAAGTTAAATATCTAACATACATAGCACTTGGGGTGGTGGCAGTGTTTTTACAGTAACTTGCTGCTCATACAAGCACCCCGTGTCATAAGATTTGGTATAGATTAGCAATGAAAAACAAGAGAACAGAATTTACATGGAATGAGGGTCGACCTAAAGCGGGTTACGTTTCAGGTTGCTCTGATTTCAATGGTGGATTTAAAGCAGCAGCACCTGGAGATGAGGCAGAACTGCCATTCTGAATATAAAGGCTGCCCATTACAAAAGAATCACTTACCAAACCAACATTGTCAACATCAAAGTTGAGTGCCCCCCTGACCTTCCGTGTTCTGGAAAAGGGAAGAGGATATTGTCAGCATTTGTACTGGATATTAAAAAAACTTCAACAATGTATGTGATAATATCCAGCTTTTAACACACCCATTCAAGCGGTCGTTAATGACAGTCAAGTCCTTAGAAGGGCTCTGGTAAGCATGAGTGCTCTCTCCAACACAGGCGTAATAGCTTTTAGAGCTGTTTGATATCAAAGCATCCATCTGCAGACACAAAACAATGAGAACTTGAAGTGTCAAAAAAGGGATTTTTCAAGCATTTTAAGCATACCCATTGAATATTGGGTCACATATCAGAATATCTTAACAAATACGGCTTAGAGTTGTCCAAGGAAAATTGGATTTCCCAGTAACAAGAGCACAGTACACAAGGAAAAACTCTATCCTATTATCCTATATACCAAGACCAAGTTATACTAGAAACTTTTCAGGTTCTTTCCATTGTATATGGGTAGATGATGGATATGGCACTGAACAGAGCAGGATGGCGGAACAAGATTCATGTAGCCATCGACATGTAGTTCAGACAAGGTTTAAGGGACATTTGATAACAGCTGAAGTGGTTCTCTTGTATGCCCCATGCTAGCAGGAACCAATGCTCTCTAAAAGGGAGGATTGCTGGATAGCAGGAACCGACCGGTACGATGAATAAAACAATTACTCCCTAAAAGCAGATATGATAAAATAGCAGGAATCAATTACTCCCTAAAAGCAGGCATGATAAAATAGCAGGAACCAATTACTCTCTAAAAGCAGGCATGATGGATAGAAGGAAACAATTACTATCTAAAAGCAGGCATGCTGGATATGCCTCTTCTATGTTCAATTTGATGGACATTGGGCTGGGGATGCAGGAATACACCTCAAGGCAACACATGCCTAGCTTTAAGCTGTATTAAGGGAACATGACTTCCATGTGATGCTTATTGACTAATCAACAGGTCAACATAGGGAAAACAAAGAACCACTTGAATGGAGAAAACAAGGTGACTAGAAGGTGACATTTAAAACATCCTTGAGCTAATCTAGTACCATTTTCTTTTCTTTTTTTTTTGATAAATAATCTAGTACCTATTTTTTTAGTGTAACAGTAATATTATTCAAAATCATTCCTTATTGGGTTCAAACCAAAAAGCTTTTACCAGGGAATTAGAGAGACTGAAATTAGTATGCAACAGAATGCTCTTATAAAAAGTTATAAAAAAAGGTATACATGGTATTTCTGTAAAGAAGCTTGTCAATGGATATAAGTGAAGGAATGGTGGGTCGAGCCATTAACAGATTTATGGAAATTTTAGTACTCTAGGGATTCAAGAGCCTGTTAAAGTGTGAGAACTGATGGAGTCCAGTTAACTAAGGACTGAAAAAGAACATTACCCAATGTTGGCCCCAGCTATCTGGAGTCTTGGGACAGGGCAGACTGGATATGGACCTAACCATTGGCATTTTTTGCACAAGTGGCTGCTTTCAGCCTTGAATCCACATTCTCGTGCTTGTCAGCCCAAAATTTTACCATTACACTAGGACTAACATGCTAAAAATCTACTAATAAGAAGCAGTTTAGTAGTAAAGGAGAAATAAGAAGCGATATTAGAAGCAAATTAAATTAGTAACATAATTGAATCCTACCAGTGAAAGCCAAGCAATCAACAGAAGGGACTGTTGTCATTAAGTACAAAATGTTGGGTACAGATAACACATAGAGCACGAAGACAATGGGACAACCGGCCAATTGACACACATAAGTAAGGTAGTTTCAGACTCAAACCTAGAATGGAGGTAAAATCAGAAACTCGCTGTATCACCAGTTTAGTGCTTCAACTGGAAACTTACACATTCAACCCATAAAAAACATCACAAAACCAGGGCCTGGAAACCTTACTGCACCACTACCTGATCTAGGATCTGACAACATCCAGGCCAATTCCTGATGACAAAACTAAGACCTAATAATGTATTAACTTGCAATTCCAATTTCCAAGTACAACAGGTGGATAACATCAGAACAACTAAAAGAAACCAATATAAAAAAAAAATTGACTAATCCAAGATAATTCAAATATAGAAACAACCTGACAAAATTAAAGAGAAAAATTGAAGTAACCTATATTTATAAAAATGCCCCCACATCTAAGAGATTTTAAACATATTCCTCAGCTGGAAGACATGGTGAGTCCTTCCCAAAGGGTTGGCTGCTAGATTAGTTGATCCTGTTGGTGTCGAGAGATCCATGAAGATCCCCCAAATGTTTTAGATAGGGATTTCAGTCTCTGACTTCTGGATTCCTTCTTTTAGTGATAGGGAAATTCACTGATGATTTCTATCACCAGATCTGGATAATGAGCTTCAGTTTTCTCTCAGTGAAGTATGCAGTTCTATTTTGGTGTTAGGCTGCTAACTTAGTCATAATGAGCTACAAGAAGATGTCAGATCCACCAATAAAGGCTTTCATATGAATATTTTTTTGTTGGTAACTTTTCACTTTTATTAATATGCTAAAAAAGATGTCTTTTATTAATTTAGGAAGAAAATTTACAATATGACTAGGCCTCAACTACCCCAAACTTTAGGACAATAGCATAACCATATTCTTACAGTTACAGCTGAGCCCAAAAACAATTCCCTGTATTGACCCCTTGCTTAGCAAAATGATCAGCTAAACTGTTTGCTGATCTAGGTACCCACTGCACATTCACCTGCATGTCTTTTGAGAATCTTTTAAACTTCTTAATCTCATTTCTGAAATACCATGGAGTTTTACTGTTATCTTTCAGCCAATTGATAATCACCTTTGAATCTCCTTCAATCAACAACTTCCTGATCCCTATTTCCCACAAGGTTCAAAGCATCGGAAATGCAAGGTGTATCGAAAAGACAATTTTAAGAGACGTATTGAAATACGCTTTGGATATGCATATTAGGAAATTCAAACATATCCCAAAAAATATATTACTAACAATAATTATAAGTTTTAAATGATTGTAAATAAGTCATTTAAATGTAAAAATCCATAATTTAATGGTTTATATAGTGTGAGATATTGGGATACAATTAGTAACTATTGAAAAAATGATAGAATAAATAAAATGTGAGAAAACCAAAAAAAAACTAAAATGTGAATGTGTATACATCAATTTATCTTAATATTTATTAGTATATAAATTTTAATAATTAATTCTATCATTTATTAATAAATACCCACTAAGAAAAGAGAAAATTTACTTAAAAATAATAATGCATACAACAATAACAAACAAATGGGTGTGGTGTTATGGGCCCAGGAATAGGATCTCGTCACAGGTCGGTCCACGGGGAAAACCTCCTGTTTTCCYTTGTTCCTCCCTGCTCTTGATGAACCTATCTTGGCGCCCTAATGGTGATTTGTCCAAGAGATCACCTAACTCTCCTTGCTCTCTTTCTTGACTGAAATTTT